TTTTTTTTTTTTTTTCAAGCAATGGGCCACTTTTGCTAGAATATGGTATCTCTTAGATGGGAAAATGCAGCCACCTGGCAAACTTGCCGCTATGGCATCAATGAGACTTCAGGGATTACATAAACCTGTGTACCATGAACTGAGTAAGTATTATTTTAGACCTGTCATTAACAACTGTAGTTTCTATGCTGGCATAGAATATTGATGAAGTTTTACAGGACTGAGTTTAAGGACCCTTTTTATTTTTCCTGAGAATCCTGTGTTCCATTCTTGCTGAAAACATACTGGTGCCTTCAACTGAATTTGGCTTATTCACGGGAAAACCATATGAATCAGTTTACCCAGAACCAGCCTATTTTATGCCACTGCCAGCAAAATTATTAGTAGCCCCTCTTCATGCTCAGAAATAACCTGATTTGCACCATGACTTAAACTTTCACTCTTATACATGTCTTTTCACATGATGAACTGCATGTAAAGAGTTTTTAAGGGAAATAATTTTGCCCTCTCTTCTAAAAATTCATTTCCGCTGGAAAAATATATGGTGCTAGCTAGATATGGGAAGCTTATTTTCACTAATAAGATTAATAGACTTGCTTTTCTGTATCCTTTTTCCAAAATAAAATTTAAAAAGTTGTTTTCATTCTAGAAGATTTCTGCTGACAGTTTTTGTGGATTTCATTGCCCTCAGCACTTCATGGCCAGATCCACATGCCAGTTTTTAGTCCTCATACTGCTTGACTTGTCAACAGCATTTGCTATAATTGATCACATTTTTATTTAACTTTCACTGTGCGATATATTAAACACACAAAGGTGTGTATATATTAATGTGTGTGTGTGTGTGTGTGTGTGTGTGTGTGTGTGTATTTTATTTTTGAGACAGAGTCTTGCTCTGTCACCAAGCACCAGGCTGATGTGCAGTGACACAATCTCGGCTTACTGCAACCTCTGCCTCCCGGGTTCAAGCAATTCTCCTGCCTCAGCCTTCCTGAGTAGCTGGGACTACGGGTGTGCGCCACCACACCCAGCTAATTTTTGTATTTTAGTAGAGATGGGGTTTCATCATGTTGGCCAGGATGGTCTCGATCTCTTGACCTCGTGGTCTGCCCGCCTTGGGCTCCCAAAGTGCTGGGATTACAGGTGTGAGCCACTGCGCCGGGCCCAAATATATGTATATTTTAAAGAAAATTAACCATAGTAACGATGATAATGATGAAATGAATACCCATACACTCAGCATTGGTTTGTTTCCAGTTTTTTTGCTGTTGTGTCTTATATTACGTTAATGTTGCTATCAATATTCTTGTGCCATTTTACTAGTACACATGGAAGAATTTTTCCAAGATATGCCTAAAGGTTAGGAATGACTGGGTTTTAAGGTGCATAGAAACTATTGAGTCTTTATCATGCCAGTAGCGTGCAAGAGTTTCCATGACTCCTCATCTTCAATATCACTTGATATGTTCATTATTTTTAATTTTGACTATTCTGGTAGATGTAAAATGCTTGCTTTGTGATTTCAATTTGCATTTTCCTGATGACAAATTTGGCTGGCTGAGTATCTTTTCATTTATTGGCCTTTAATGGCTTCCTCTTCTGTGAAATGGCTCTGCATGTCTTTTGCCAGTTCTTTCACTGAGTTGTTTGTCCTTTGCTTTTTTCTTACTATGATTATAAAAGGTTTCAAATGATCAGAAAAGGTGAAAGAATAGTACAGTGCATTTCTTTATACTCTCCATCTAAATGCAGTTAACATTTTATCCTGTATTTTTTATTCAACCATTTGAAAATAAGTTGCAAATGCCATTATAATTCCCCCAAAATACTACAGCGTACATATCCTAAAAATAAAGTTACTCTCTGTATAACCAGAATGCCACTGGCACACGTAAGAAAATAAACAGTACTTTAATTAGATGATCTAATGTTCATCCTTACAGCTGTTATTTTTTTGAACCAGGATGCAACCTAGCTTTATGTATTCTTTAGTTGTTATGTTCCTTGAGTCTCTTGATCTAGAATAATCCTTTTATTTTCTTGTCGTGAGGAGTCCAGGCTAATTTTCATGTAGAGAATTTTCTTCTTGAAACACATTCTTTGCTTGTTTCCCAGGATACTGATCTCTCTTTCTTCTCCCTTTCTTAGTATCCTTGGCTATCCTCAGCTTTCTAAACTCAAATGCCCTTCTCACCGAAAACTGGAAGTGCCTCAGGGCCCATTCCTGAACCTCTTCTTATGCCTTAGATGATTGCATTTTGTCTCCTGTATCTGAAAGTCATCTTTATGCTAATGCCTCCCAAATTTAACCCCTTCCCTGTATTCTAGACTCACATACACAAATTTCTATTCAGCAAATTCTTCTGATGTCTAGTAGACATCTCCAATGAGTAAGTCCATTTGGAGATGTCTTGCTTCCTGTCTGCTTCACCCAAACCAACCTGTTCCTTCCCAGTTTTCCCTGTCTCAACTAATAGCATCTCTGTTATTTTAGTTGCTCTTGTTTGAAGCCTTTGCCTCATCTGCAACTCCTCTTTGTTAAACCAAAACAATTTAAAAAGTACACACACACACGCACACATAATTTAAAAATATATTAGAAAAAAAGATATCTGAACTCTGGCACCTGTCATCATCTCTCCCTCTACTCTGATTTTAAACTGCTGTACTCTATCCTGTTTTATTCCAAAAACTGCCTCACTGTGATCTTGTTTTCTTCTGCTGTTGCCTCCATGTAATGTTTTTTCCATAGATCAACTAAAGTTATCTACTCCAAATGAAATTTCTGTGTGTCCTACAAGGACCTAAATAATATGGTCCCAGTTACCTTTCTGACTTTATTTCCTTTATTTATTTATTTATTTATTTCTGTCAATCAGTCTACCCAGGCCTATGCTGTTCCATTAACTTGCCTGCTGAGCACATTTTTGCCCTATGGCTTTAC